GGTTGCCGGGCATCGGCAGTCTCAAGACTAGTCTGAGAACAAAGTGGAGAGATTACCAAGCTGAACTGGGTATACTGGTGTGCATGTGCTGTTGATCGGCGTAGCTGTTGGTTCTGACTGGCATGAGAAGTGAAAGTTGGAGTCTTGAGACTTCCTGACGAAGCATCTCGTCAACGTGGTGTGGTTGATTTTCGTGCAACGACAAGCTGACGTGGCCAGCTTGGATGTCACAGTAGCTTCTCGCTATGCCATGTGCTTCGGTTCCGGGACAGTGCCCTCGATGGCTTATAACAGATTCTCACACAGGAACTTGCACGATTCTTCAAGGCCCTTTTGACAGCATGCCAAGCTATGGCGTTGAGTGGGCAGTTTCCTTGATGCATCGCCGTCCTGCTGGGTTGCAATGTGTGGCGGCAGTGGCCAGTGAAGCACTCGCACACAACATTCTCAGTTTATCCTCTGTGCATACATTGCACTTCATGTTGAACTTCGAACGGAGGCATGTTGACAATTTTGAAGAGATATGCGGATGTGTGAGACGAATCGAGAGGGGTGACAGATTGACAAGTTGGCACCCACGAGTGTTCCTCCATCACCTCCGCACGTTCTTTGGCGAACAGGACATGAAGCGTGGCCTGGTTTACGCGGAGCGTTGAGTGTTTGGAGTCTTGCGGTTTTCGAGCTCGTTACAGTAGTCCGAAGGAGAGAGATGTCGTGCATTCTTATGTCGCCCGCTGCTTTTGGCTGCTTGGATATCGTGAATCGCCTTGTCAGAAAAAAGGAAGTGGCAGCATGTGGCAGCAAGTTCTTGAGAGCTTTCCCCCGCAGCCAGGACATCTTGACTTTCCGTCATGTCCGCTCGGCTATGGATAGTTCGGCGTGGGTTGCTGGTCGCGACGCAACCTGACAGTGCGATGTAAAAGCAGTTCACCGAAAATCATCCGGATCTTATGTGCTTATCGGCAGGTGAAAATGCATGTTGGTATTGACATAGGAAAAACAGAGACTTGGACGCTTTTTTGGCAGCCCGCACAACGAGTCAGTTTAACAGTTTTGCACGTGCAAGTCGCATCATGATGAGTTGTCCTCGACGCTTTGAGTGTTGCTGCCTGCATTGTAGTTCGAATGAGTGGAGATGCGCCCCTCTAGTGATGATTCCTTGATAAAGTCGGACTAGTCTGACAACAAAGTGGAGAGATTACCGATCTGAACCTAGTACACCGGGGTGCATGTGCTGTTGATCGGCATAGCTGTTGGCGCTGACTGGCATGAGAAGTGAAAGTTGGAGTCATGGGACTTCAAGATGAAGCATCTCGTCAACGTGGTGTGGTTGTTTTGAGTCTTCCGATGCACAGAGAGGAAGGTAGCACGCACCTTAGTGAAAGTCTGCACCTGGCTGCCTGCCGGAAGAGTGCTGCCCTGCTACAACATTGACATGCGCTCATGTAGCAGGCTTTGCCGATCCTGCATCGATCCGACACTGAACCAATTTTTTTGAGTTTCGGGTCAGGCTGCAGTCCTGAATCGCCGTCGCTTGCGATCCAAGCCGGCGGGGCTTGTGATCGCTTGGAGAAGTCGACAAGTCTTGTTTCCGTTGATCGATGCCCCCTTGGATTAAGCATATTGCCGGCATTTCCACTCTCCCTCTTGGGCTTGCTGTGCTCTTCACCTCCTCCTCCTCCTTTTTCTGCTGGGCGTCTTTCGCCACAGTTCTCGCCCTAAGAAAAACTGTGTGTCGTGTCCCCAAACAGGGGTGACTTGCTGCACCTAGATGGATCCTCGACTTCAAGAAAACGGCTGTGGAGCCCTACGGAATCTGTGCGCCGACAACGACGATTTCAAGGCGCTCCATCCTCGACTTTTTCTTCAAAGCCCTTCTCGATGAATTTGAGAGTCGGAGCTCTGCAGATCCGCACGGTCGCGGCCGGTGGAGCAGAGCGAGCTTGGAGCCCTTAAATGGATCTAAGCGCGTCACCCCACGAGACCTTTTTGAGGCTTGCAGCGCTCTGGCGCGACACGAGGATCTCCGAGTGCCGGGCGCCCGGGCCTCCTTAGGAGCCAGGAGCTGATTTCTGCTCAGCTCCTGCCAGGCGGCGGCAGGCATGCAGCGCTTTGATGAACATGTCCTCCGTGGGCCCGGAGCGTATCGAGGACCAGCGATCTGTGCGCCGGATGGCTTGCTGATGTGTCCAGTTCAGGACTGCCATGATGAAATTCTCCAGGCAGATGCCGTTGGCCGACTCTGCACTGCTATTGAGGCCCACAAGAAGGCGAGGAGCGGAGGCTTTTTGTGAGGAGGTGAGGATCCATCCGTGCATGGCCCAGGAGCTCACAGTCGTGGAACCTGCGTGGAGCCCAGCACGGGTCCTCCCTTCAGCTCTGCGCTTCGGGGCTCCTGTGGAGCTCGTTGCCAGGCCTGCGCGGCTCTTCGAAATCTAATCGCCGGTGCGCAGGCGGTGCATTCAATGCATTGAGTGCGGGTTTCTCCCCACAAAGCCCTTGGAGGTTGGTGAAACACGAGGCTGCAGTCGGTTCTGTGGTTTCGATTCGCTTTGCAATGCTTTGCATCTCGCATCGAATCGAAGCACGTAGAGAGGCTCCTGGGCCTCTGATCTCCTGCGACCAGCTGGGCTTATGCACACTTCTGTGACTTATGTTGTGGAAGGTCTGACATACAAGCAGATCCTCGATGAAGACTTGGTCAGGACCCTGGACTAGGGCACGCTTGTGTCCCTGACGGAAGCTTGGCGACTTGGTTCCGGAGTGCTCACAGGAATTCTTGGCACTTTCCAAGGTCAAGCGTCTCGTGCAGACCATTTTCTTGAATCTGGATCACAACCTTGTGTTGATGCCCCAGCCATGAATCAACCTGATGCAGGCTTGAGATGTGAGTAGCACTTGCCATGAGCCAAGTCTTTCTTTTAGGCAGCATCATTGCTTGGAAGCGCTTCGTCATGTGTTTGAGCCCCGGGTATGTGCGGTGCCTCCGTGGCTGCCAGTCTCCTGCAACTCCCAACTTCCAGGTGCGGCTGGGAGAAGGGAGCCCTTCTCTTGGAGCGCAACCGGGGTCTGGCCCCAAACTCTAGACAGCTCTAAACTCCTAAACCTTGACCTGGAGCACATGCTTTGAGACAGGAGCTCAGGCCGTGAAGCGATCCATGGAACGCGACGAGCAAAGGCCCTCATGTCATGTTTTGGTGTGGAAACGATGCGATGGCAAAGTATGCGCAGGAAGGTTCACGACCCCGTCATACGGGAGCGAGGCTGCAACATCTTGAAGGGTGCAGGCCTTAGCCATGCAGAAGCCGCTCCGACTCGAGCCCTTGACTGCTAATAGCTGAGGCCTGGCCTTAGGCCCGGCCTTGCTTTCGGTCAGTTTTTCCAGGGCTGACTCAGACCGGGCAGGCACAGCCACAGGGTCACGGTCCATCCTCGAAGATGACCGGCCAGACGGGTCGGGTGCCAGCACGTCGGAGCATTTTGGGGCCTCCAAGGGTCATCATCTCAGGTTGAAGCGCATCAAGCATGCGATGGAAAGCTTCCGGAGCCTGAAGGAAGTGCAGAAGTCCGCGCTGGAGGCATGCCTCCACCTGCAGCGTGCTTGCCCGCGGGCGCCCTTCTTGCAGAGGCTCTGATGGCACTGGCCAAAGGCTGGCCGAAAGAAGGAGCTCAGAGGATCAAGGCTTTGGGGAGGGGTTTCGGTCACGTGTGCATCCCATTGTGCCTGTGTCGTGTTGGCCATGAGGCTGTTGGATGTTTCAAGGAGCGCGAGTGCTTGGGAAAAGAGGGAGGAGGGAAGTTTTGCGTGTGAGCTTGCCTTGGGTAGTTGGAAGCACCTCCAAGAGCTTACAGGACCCATGCCCAAATTTAATATGGAGTACCCGCCGCGGCATACGATACCTTGGACACGTCCTCCTTGGGATTAGCTTGTGCGCAGATTCAAAACTTTTTGCATTTCAGGACATTCTGGCCGCAATGTCAAGTCACTCGCAGGACTTGACACTGCTTGCCGGCATCTTATCAAACTGTGGAGTGCCCGTTGTGGGCGTTCTCGAGTGAACAGCAAGGTCAGTGCTTGCGGTGTCATTCGCCAGCTCGCCGTCAATGGAATCTTGATCGAGGTGTGGTCGGCCTTTCGCAGCAGTAGCTGCTGGATCTCAGTTGCCAGCTGCAAGGAAGCAAGGCCAGTTCTGGAAAGGTACATCAGGCAGTTCCCAGAGGAGGCTGACATTGTCGAATACCAGTTCTCATGATGGAACATTTTTGAATCTTACAGGTGCGTTTGCTCGTGCCGGCGATGCACTCACTAGCTGAGATGGTCAGCCTCATGGAGCCCACAGCACCTTGACATGTGGCTATCTTGCATCGCGACGCATCGCGACACAGCAATCAGAGCTGGAGCTTAGGATGCAGACAAATCCTTGGCACACGACGTGTCGAATTCTCTGGCACCGTCCTTGGCTGCCGCTGTTTGGAGTTGGGTACACGTATCCATATGCAGGCTTTGTACTGTTGTGACCTAAATCGCAACGCTACAGTGCTGCCGGCATGAGCCACAACCCTGAACAAGCGACGAAGCCCTCAAACCGTAAGCACCACAACATCAAGCAGTATCCCGGGTCGTGCAGGCCAAGTTTGCCTTTTCCGTTCGATGAACATTGAATGATGTTGAAACAAGCTGACCGAAGCTATCCGGGGCAAAGCTGTCAAGGTCGCACACAAGCGGATCGCACTCGTGCAGGCCTGACGATGGGAGAGTTGGCATCTCTGTTCCAGCATGAACCACTGCAGGCGGCTGGCCTCAGCATACTTCGTGGTTGGGCTGCCGTCGGTGTGCGCCCCATCGCACCCACGACGTGCTTCGTCTGCGACCAGCGACACGCGGCGCTCGTTTTAGGTGGCATCGGGCTCTTCGCGGCCACCGAGGCCATTCGGGAGTGGAGGTTGCAACGTGCGAGAACAGAAGCAACGGCAGCCTCTTTGCTGGAAGAGGAACAGAACGATACTGACGAGCAGGATTGTAAAATCGAAGCGAAGGGGTAAAGCCCAGATCTGAGCGGTCCGCTAGCCCGTGTCAGTAGTGTCCGGCTTCCATAGAGGGCTTAGGCGTCCCGGCAGCAATTCAGATCAACACGAGGTTTGCATGCCATTCAGTCCGAAACGGCAGACAGAACATCAGGTGCAGGTATACCCGTTCATGGAAGACAGAATACCGTAGGAGTGCAGAGCGCCGCAACGCATGCGCTTCAGCTTTCCACTGGATGGGTTGCTATTTGCAGGCCAGATGTGTGGAGCGAGCACGTGCTCGCCTCGTGTGCATAACCTGTCCGTTCCCTGACGGCTTCAGCAGTTGAGGCGTGGCCATGCTTGAGCACAAAGAAGACGAGGTCCCCCCCCGCCAAGTAGGAGCTTCGACGCGCCAGAAACTCATCTGTCATTGTGCAGCTGTCAGGCCGTGCAGGGGATAGCTTGTGAGGTCCTCCGCCGGGTGGGGCTCTGAGTGCTTGCGCTGGCACAGTATTTGGAGTCCTGGCCTTTGCATTCTCGGCTTGAGTGGAACCCTGCAGCAAACCTGCTTCCAAGGTGGCGGCTTCCAGCACGCAGATGCGCCCGGGATCCTGGTTTGTTGTGGCGTCACTTGTGAGAGGACATTCCAATGCCGCCAGGCGACAACATCATCGAAGCTGGGCTGTATTCTTTCATAATGACTGCTCAGGACCCATGGAAACCTTAAGTTGGGAGTTGGGAGTGGCAAGAGTCAGTTTGCTGCTAGTGAAGGAGACATGTCGGGCCAGCCCACAGGTGCAATGTCGAAGACTTCTCTTCTTGATCAGAAGCGACGGGTTGCAGGTCTGTCGGCAGAGCCTACAAGCAGCAAGCACATTGCTGGGCTTTATGGCCCCGAAGGGCCAAGGACGGCAGGCCGGGCAGTGCCGCTGTGATTCCCCGATGCAGAGGGTACTGTGCTACAAATCCAGGAGGAACGAATGAGGATGATGATGCAGAGTGCCGTGGGGTGCCAAAATCCATGCGAAGTCCCCGCAGAGCAGCCCTTGAGCCTCCCAGGCCAAAGCCAAGGCAGCTGCCATGTCCCCAGAATGTCACAGGGTCGTTAGCGGCCCATGAGTGGGGTTTGCGCAATTAGGCTGGCACCCCGCCGGTGCCTTACAGAGGGCCTGGCCATGGCGACCATGTCCAGGCTCAGGCGCCCCCCAGCGCTTTGCCATGGTGCGCCTTATGAGGCAGCGCAGCGGAGCCATAGCCTTTGGGAAGTTGGTAAAAGAGACCGAGCCGGCCTTACAGTAAGTTGATTCGATGTGCTCGGCCGAGCCCTATGGCCCTATGATGTCTTGAATGCAAGTGAGGACATGTCCCAGTTTGCCACCAATGCAAGCGCCCAAGCTGCCAGCCGGTGCGAGGCGATGCTCCTCACATCCGAGGTGCAGGATCTGCTGGTCTTGCACAAGTCGAGCTCTCTCTTTGTACAGGATGCCTGTCATGTGCCGCGGGCTCACTTCTGGTCTCGATTTGATGTGATCCATCAGCTTCTAGTCGCTTTCCCTTACCTTTGTTGATTTGGGTTCGACAGCACAGAGTAGTCTGGCAAAGCTAATCTCCCAATGCCTTCTGGCACAGCCGTCAAGATGTGAAAGGGCGGCGCGAAAGGCTTCATGCCTTGTCACAAAGTGTTTCGTCCGATGCCTCACGACAGGCAGGCCTTTGCAAAGTTTCTTTTTTTCGTCCTGGGACATGTTGTGTGTGCTGTGCGTGATGAGATGCAGACTGGCTGGAGTGATGATGGCTCTCTGCAAAACCTCGATCCTGCACTCAGCCTGCTGAAGACTCGTTCTGGTCTTCAGCCGCCTGTTGGTGTGGAGTGGCGTGAGGAGCAACAGCAGGATATGCCCAAGGATGCCCAGACGGACCATGGAAAGCGGACTTCCACTCTCCGACAAAACATCGGCATGGAAACACAAAACCATGGTCCTGCCCTCGCTCCGAGAGCAGGGGGCGACATGAAAAATTCCTTCGAAGGGGTCAGTCGAATGCAGCTTTTGAATTTCGCTGGAGGCGGCTCCACAGCGAGTCAAACGCTGCATGGAAAGGAAGTCAACGGAGGGGGCTATAGAGGGACGTCCTCACCTGCCGCCTGGCAAGTCGCAACGGTTCAGCGGCGGCAAGCAGAAGATTCGGCAAGCAAGCAGCACAACCAGAGTTCGGAGACTTTGAGCGGTAGCAACAGTTCGGAGACGGGCGACGGTACCCATCCCTATCCCGGCAGAAGCCACGAGTGGGCGAAATATGACTACAAGAAAACCACGGGTGAGTTAGAAGGAATGACAGCTGTGGTGGAAGCCGTGGACAGTGCCAAGGACTGGACTGTGCTGAGGGGTGCTCCTTGCTGACCGGACCGACGGCTGTGTAAAACCTGCCAGCGTGAGGACAAAGCAGTTGACAAAGCCCGTGCAGTCAGGGTCTCAGCTTGTTCGCCATGCTGTGCAATCGGTTTCGGGAGCATGTTCGTTCTCCGTCCATCTGAGCTCAGGTAGACAAAGCATTCGGGAATCAACAAGAGAAGGTGAAAGACCTGGGACGAGTCATGGATCACCTGGACGTGTCCGTTGAAAAGTACAAGCAAAGTGTTCAAGACTACTTTGTGCAGCAAGAAGACAGCACATTTTCACCGCTTGCAAAACGCGCGGGATGACGGGACGTTGAAAAAGTTCAATGAGTCAATCTTGAATCACCGCAGATGAGTGAGTAGCATGTAAACAACTATGGTAAAATGAAAACAGAGGAGTGTTCGACTCAGCCGAATTGAACTGTCTTGAAGGCTGCAGAGCCTCGCTGAGTCATCCGACGAAGGCTGCAAGGCAACCGATTTGAGCAACTCTTTTCGTCTGCGCGCTTGCCATCCCGTCAGGCTGTCCAGTCTATCGGGGTGCTCCCAACGATTCTGACGGTCCTCAAGCAGCACCGACGTACGCCTCCCGAAAGCTCTCTCGGCTCGCAGCAGCTCGCAGCATCTCTCGGTCAGCATCCCTCGCATTCGGAGGCAGCGAGGCGGCGAACTTCTTCGCTCTGAGGGTCATCTGGAGCCCGGAGCCCGCGAGAGCTCTCCTTGCACAGCTGCTGAAGGGGGGTGGCCTGCACTCAAGGCCTTTTGACAAACACCACCTTGATTCGCAGGAATCTCGAGTTCCCCTTGCTGTGCACAAATCCACAGCCATTTGCACTACGCCTGAGGTCATGCCATTGAGGCCTCATGCTGTCCTCGGCTTGCTGCCAGAAGCCGGTTCCTCATGGCTTCTTTTTGCATCCGACGCTGCAGGCAGGCCTGGTTGAGCTGGTCTTCTCGTGTCTGACTCGCTTTCACGGATGTCCAGCTGTACAGAGTGCGGCTCTTTTGCTGGTGAGCCGCACATCCCTCCAGAACCAGGATGCCAAGGCTATGTACATAGAGGCAAACATCATCCCGCTCATGCGGCGACTGCTGGAAGAAGATGACGAATTCTTGCGAGGTCGATGTCTGGGTGCACTTGCGAATCTGGCGAGCAACAACACAAAAGCAGTTGAGAGGATGCCGGACATGGAGGATGCGATCGTGGAGATGCTGTGCTCTGGCAGTGACTCTGAACAGCTGCAATGCCGCTGTCTGCAGCTCTTGTGGGCACTACTTCGTGCTGCTAGAAGCAAGCGGCAGAAGCCACAGGCATTTTGCAGTTCTCGGCTGCTGGATGCAGTCCTCGATGCCCTGGCCAAGCATTCCAAGAGCGAGAACTTGCAGGTCCAAGGCATGGGCTTCTTGTGGAACTTGACTGCTCTTGGACAAGAGCAGAAGCGCTGGGTTCTGGAGCATGATGGTCTCAGACTTGCAGTGGTTGCCCTGGAAGCCCATGCAGACAGCCGCCCCGTGCAACATCATGGGTTGGAGCTGTTGCGGAGCCTTTCCTGTCTCGGACCCGAGGCACGAAAGCAGGTTCAGAACGCCAGAGCTGTGGACTTTGCAAAGACAGCACTTGTGATGAGAGGTGACCCTCGGATTCTTTGTGCAGCTACCGCCTTATTGGGGAATCTTGCCTGTGGGGATCCGGCTGTGAAGCGCCAGCTCTTCGATCAGGACATACCCAAAGAGATACTGTCTGGCATGGAAGACTATGCGCGCGATGTTGGCGTGCAAGTTGTCGGGGCATGGGCATTGGGGAATTTCGTCGGAGTCAGTCGCAAGCGTGCTCGGCAGCTTTATGAGCTTGGAGGCAAAGACCGTGTCTTTTTGGCCATGTCTGAGTACCCATTGAATGATAGCATGAAGATGTATGGAACAGCAGTAGTTCGTAGGTTGGAGTTGGTGCAGGATCTGACGCTGAGTGCTGACAAAATGGAGGAGGATGACGAAGAGGATGCGAATGCAGATAAGACCACTGAAGGCAAAAGTTTTGCGGAACTGGACAAAGAGGAGCAGGAGAATGCGGGCTCTGAGAGCGAATCGTCGGAAGATCCAGAGCTCCAGGCGAAGATTCAGGCATTGGCTAAGCAGACAGGGCAAGGGCAAGGCGATACTCGAAGTGGGGTTAAACTCGGGAGTGACGATGGAGATTGAAGACGTTATAGCCGTTAGCTCATCCAGCAGGGAGACCCAGCGAGGCAATTGCGCAAACCGTGAACTCATCGTCTTCGTGGAGCCTGCCAAAGTGGTTTTGCCACTCATGTGGCTCATCCTATCGCATCGCAATGCATGGTGTTTCGTTTGATCTTGAAGATGTGTCCAAATTTCAGATCATTAGAGTAGAGGGCTCCAAGTGAATGCCCGAGTATTTTTACGGCCGCGGATACGATACCAAGCAAAGCAATGGCGATTAAACTCTTTTGTTATGAGTTCGAGTGGTACACAGGCCAGAATCCACAGCACACGTTCGATGTGCTGAAGTTCCAAAACGGTGGGATGCAGCATACGGACGAGCACACGTCACATGACCACGAGACCCTGGTCCTGGGATGCACGGATGAGGATCTACGAAAACCCAGAACTGGACCAATTGGTACTATCCTGCGTCCCATGCAGCAGCACTTTCATCTTGGGATCAAGATCCCTGGAACGGCAGGACCAGTCGCAGCACCGCGGCATGGCAGGAGGGGAGGGCTCGCACAGGTGCACATCTTCAACAAACGTGGACATGGTCACGGAGCCGAAGATAACTGGGCCACGAACCTGGGGCTTGCAGGGTCCTCCGCTCCGGAGGTGGAATTTCTGGAAAAAGCAACCGAGCTTCTCGCAGGCCTTGGCCCCAAGGCAGTTGCACCCGGTTCCACAACGTGGAACCAGAGGTTTCATCACGATTTCATCTTTTTCCGGACAAGTCGGACCGGTTGGATTGATTTGAGAGCGAATGAGTTGGAAAAAGTGGGTCGTGGCCTTGGCCTAGGGCCCAGGGCCGCTCCTGGCAGTTGTAGGGCCCAGGGTTGGAGCTAGGAGCTTGAAGTTCTGGCTCAAGTCAATCCTCGTACTTCTCGATCTTCAGGACGTTAAAGGCAGACTGTTCTGCACTTTTCCATGAGATAGCGAACCGGCAGATGCACGCAGAACATTCGGCAACAAGGTCAGGCTCTCAATGCAGTTCTGCGCATCATGCTTGAAGCTTTCTGGCAAAGGAGTGCTGGAAGCCCAAGGTGTGTGGCCGGATGCAGCGTCTTGATAGTGGGGAGCATCTTCTTCGCAGAGTGGCTGGCCTTCCACAAATTTTCCAAGCCGCCTCCTGTGTGGGTGCTTGTGTTCAACGCGACCTGGTTGTTGGCAATCTGGAGTTATCTGCAAACAGCTTTGACAAATCCCGGCACACCCACGAGCCCCGAGTGGGTCGACTGGGCACGAGCTCGCAAAGGGAGCAGAACGGTGCAACAATGGCAAAAGGATGCAGAAGAGGCGGGGTTGTAGGCACATGATGAAGGCGGACACAACTGCATGGTTGTAGGCGCTTGGTGGACATATGCTATATAGATTATAAATAAATGTATCTTAATTTTCGTTCTGGTGGGTAGGTGTTCACAGTTCAGTTTACAGATCGTAAGAACAGTCGTGATCTCTTTGCCCGTGGCCATTTTTGGCGATCAGCCGATCGGCCCGGATTTTCGATCGTCGGTGTGGGAACAGACTAGATCCAACCAGCCATGTCGTTCCCGCCAGCTGGTCCGTTCCGCAACTCGGATCAGCAGCAGGTTCCTCAGTTCGGGCTGCCGAGGAGGCTCCAGCAGACACTGTTGGACAGTGGGGTTGGCTCTACACTCCGGGGCAAGCTCAGCGCCAGATCAAGGCTCCCCGCCGAACCGCCGGCTGCCCACAATCCCTTCGCGGTCCAGAAGCCTGACTTCGTGGAGCGGGATCCCCTGGCTCAACATGCAAATTTGGGCTTCAACATGCACACGTGCGTTTTCGAGATGCAAACGTTGTGGCTTGCTCTGGGGTTCAACATGCACAGGTGGGTTTTCGGGATGCAAACTTGCTCGACATGCAAGGTTGGGTTTCCGAGATGCAAACATGCATCTCGGGCGCGCGCTTTGCATCTCGGAAACCCAACCTTGCATGTCGAACGCCACAGTCCCTTTTCGCTAGCCTTCGGTGCGATGCCGTTCATGAAAAGCCGGTCGAAGTTGTTTCGGAGCCGCCTACAGATCCGATCGAGGACTTTTAATTCCCTGTCGAATTGTTTTCCGTTCGCCGGGAACATCTCGTCTGATGTTTTCGTTCGGATCTACTGTATAAAGCGATCGCCAGCTATCTGGTGCGCCTCTCCGCCGATCGGAGCATCCGTTCAGAATGATGAAGATCACAAATGTTCGAACTTTGATCTGTGGCCGATTCCTACGTTGCGGTCGCACAAAAAGTCTGTGTGCGATCGCTGGCTGTGCTGTGAGTTCTCGAGCGGTGAAGATCCAGTCGTCTAGTAAGCTGAACATTTGTATGTGTGCATGTATGTATGTACGTATGTTTGTATGTACGTATGTACGTATGTCTGTATGTCTGTATGTCTGTATGTCTGTATGTCTGTATGTCTGTATGTATGTCTGTATGTATGTATGTATGTATGTATGTATATATGTATGTATGTATGCATGTAGGTAGGTAGGTAGGTAGGTAGGTAGGTAGGTAGGTAGGTAGGTATCTATCTATGTATCATGTACGTACGTAGGTATGTATGTATGTATGTATGTATGTATGTAGGTATGTATGTATATGTATGTATGTGTTTCTATGTACATGCATGTGTATATATACATATACATATATATATATGTCTATATGTGTATGTGTGTGTATATATATATATACATACATACATACACATGTCAATATCAGGCCCCGAGCAGACTGCAGGAAGCATCGGGTGATCCGAAGAAGTCCTGGTCGCCGGGCAAGCCGACTTGGTGCCGAACCTGTCGAATGGAGCGGCCCGAACGACTGAACCTCAGACAGAAACACAGAGCCGTCGTGAAATCATGGATTGCTGGGAGCAGGTGCCCATCACTGCAGCTCTTGCGGCACATGTGTGCTGCGAATGGTCTTTCTCCCAGCTTTGAAAAAAATGCAACATGGGCACTTTCTGCGTACCGCCCCAGCACAGGACCATCACTGTCCCTGGGTAGGAAGTTGCGGTACTCTCAGCTTGCCTTTTGCCGAACCGCCGAGATGCAGAATGCTCTGCTCAGGCATTGGTTGGCGAAACCACAAGTACTTCCTGCTCCTGAACTGGCACTCGGCTTAAGATCTGTTGCTTTTTGATGGCGGGTCTCTTTGCGGGACGACTCAGGTGGTGCTTTTGGGCTTGTTTGTGCTTCATGCTGACAATGTTGGGCCCCTGATTACCGTTCTTAGCTGGCGAGTTTCTGGAAGCCCTGCAAAAAGATGCCGCCCGTCGATGATGGATGCGCTGTCCATCGCTCCTGGCAATCTGGATCTCAACAGGCTATCCGGTGTGGTCATTTTCGGTGCATTCCTGTCACTGAAACCGCCGTGGCCGCAGCACATGTGCAACTGGCAACATTCTAAGCCTGTCAGTGTGCTGGCACTCTTCTCGATGCTGGGGATCTTGATCTTCCTCCTCTTAACAGGCGTGCCTGTGCAAGTGTCTCTGTTTGCTCCCTTGAGTATCTTGACTTGTGCGAGTGAGAGCAGGTATTCTCTTCATGGTCTCGTTATGGTCAGCAATGAGGATGGTGGAGAGCATCTCGATCACGAGGGCATTCTTAACTGCAAGAGCAACCTGCAATCCCCCTCACTGGTCAGGGATTCACATCAGTGGGGCAGGATAACTCCGCAACTGAACACGGTAGTCGCGGGGAATGGCGAGCTTGCATCGGTACATCAGGGCAAGGAGTTGGGTATGGACTTGGAGGCTGTGGCGCGGGCGTGTTGCATTAGAAGAGGCATGCACTTCGGTCGTGGCTGTCGTATATACCCTCGAATTCTAGAAACAAGAGTTAACTCGCGCTATCCGAGCGTTGGGATACTAGCACATGCGCGCGAGTACTTTCAAAAATGTTAGTTCTGAGTCGAATGCACGGTCAATCCGCAAAAGCAGAAACCAGCGTAGAACATGAGGATAGTGGGAAGCCCTTTCGGGAAAAGCAGGGTCAAAAGCCGCATACGCACAATTCACGCGCAACAGCACTTGAAGAAGCAGGAGGGGCATTATTCGATGGGTTTCCTCTAACTGTTGGTGCAAATTCAAGTCTCGGTTGCTGGTTGCTCCAGGAATTGCACGACGGTCGAGGATTATTTCGTGGGCGACAATCCGTGCGCACGACCGCCGAGCTTTTGGCATTGGGCACTCTGCCGTCGCTGAGGTACACCCTGCCCTCGTGCATAGACAACCTGACACAGCTTTTGGGCAAGCCGGGAATCAGGCGATGCTGTGCAGTGCAGTGAGTCCAACTTTCTATCTTGCTGGGACTTCTCCGAGGTGGCTGGTTCCTGTGCCCTGTGACTGCAGGCAAGCGCCTCGGCTCGTGAGGTGCTCGTGAGTGCGAGACCCGCACAAGGCCATCCGATGGCACAAGCTTCGAACTGAACTGCAGCCTGTCCTTCGAGGTGTGGCGCGTATGCCAGCCCCATAAAATTGAAGTGATGCACAAGATTTCTAGGCCCTAGGCTGTGCAATCGAGAAAATTACTGTAGGGCAATCAGATTGTAATTAAATAGTTCTCAGGGCTGGAATACTGTCTTGCAGGCGGTGCACGGCGGCGGATATGGCGCCGTTTGAGCCATGTGCATCGAGACAGAGACCACCTCACGAAAACATGTTGTCGAATGCTTGTAGCCAGCAGAGGATGCTTGTGCACCACCGCTTGCGAAGAAGCCCCGATGCATCAACCGCCGCCAGCTTGGATCAACCAGTGAAATCGGATGCCCGTCGCAGGCGGCAGGCTCGTTGCTGTCATCTGGTAGCCTATAGAATCGAGCCCAGTCACTGATGCTGTTCAGGACCACGATATGCCTGAATCCTCCGCAAGGAGCTTTGACTTCTTTGCTGATTCCTTCAAAGCACTTCCATTGAAGCCAGCGCTGCTGCTTCTTTTTAGGTTCTCCTCAAATCTGCAGGGCGCAGAGCCTTCCAAACCACCCCGAGGTCTTGGGACGTCTTACGCAGTTCTGCATCACAGAGCCCTGAGCGGTGTTCGGTCTCAGGAGTCATCAGAAGGCCCAAGACGACCAATCTCTCCTGGCTGCGTGTCCTGGAAACTCGAGCTGCTCTTGGCTTTACACTGTTAAAAAGCACGGAACATCGCAGAGATCACGCGCAAGGCCGCGACCCCTCGCCGGACGTCTAGGTGGCATTTGCCCGGGGTGCAAAGCTTAGACTCAAGAGAGGTTCACGCAAGCAGTGAACTTCGCGCACACGAAGTGATGGCAGGGGACAGTATTGGCCGCCGCACTATGCCGCTGGCAACTACCGCAGAGAGGACACATTGTTCGGCACTCCGTTTTCGTGGAAGCGGCTGCCCAACAGCTGGAAAGAGAACACGCGGCAGGATACGATCTCATCCATGCAGGCGACACACACCTCCGAAGCTGTGAAGCCGCAGACGGCAGAAATTTTCAGGCCGGTCTACCAGCGGCACCGCACAGAAGTAGCAAAGATGCCGTGTGCCTTGCGGCCAGGGAAGGGTTTCGAAGTCATGGATGGGGCCGTGGCACGGGATACTGCTCCAGCCTTGGAGCCGGTGCTGAAACGGTGCCAGATCACGGCTGCGATATGCCGAGGTCCCAACACGAACTCCATTCGTGGTGTTGACTGGTCGCACAAGGAGCGTTCAATCTCTTCAAACGCACGCTTTCGAAGCCTTTTGGAAGGGTGCCATGGACAGGAGACAAACGATGTTTTCCGTACGACGTACGGGGACACTCTGTGTTTAAATCGAGCCAGGGCCTAATCGAGAAGAATGTTTGGAATCTCGATGCAAGCGTGGGATCCCGCTGAACCTTCCAAGTCTCCGAACTCATTGGCATCAACTGCCTCCTCCTTCATGCCGGGCTCTCAGATGTCACTTGCAGACTCGGCTTGCTGCCGGCGAAGCGAAGGACTCCACGTGGGCCACGCGGGGGGCCCAAGAGCATTGGGCACGGATGCATCTGCCCTCGGAGCCCACTTGCGACCACGGTTATGTCGTTTCCGCCAGGTCGCCTTTGCACTTGTCTTTCCCACTTCGGGTAGGTACGACCTTGCTATCGTCACCAAGGTGCATTCGCAGCGTTCCACTGACGCTGACGGTCGCTGGATGGTTTAGTTTATCATGATCCATGTCGCCAAGTTCTTTGATGGCCATTGATTCTTTCAGAATGTGCGATTGGAAGCATTGCTAGAGAGACAGTTGCTGAGATGCTGTGGCATCAAGAGGGCCTGCTCAGTGAAGCTGACATATGCCCACTGCCACAGCAGGACTCACAACTGCAACTTGCTTCTCAATTCAAGAGCATCCTCCAGCTACACCGGACCTATGCCAGAATGAGAATTACAATCGCTTTTCATCACAAGTTTTCCGAAGCCGTTCTGCAACGAGACAAGTGAGAAGGCTTTCAATTTCAAGGCATGCTGAACCAGTTTCTTGTTGCAGATCAGGCAAGCTTATGATGACCATCGCAATCCTAGCATGCGAAGAACCTTAACACCGTATTCTTTGCAAGTCTCTGTGACCTCCTGAGGAGCACACCGAGGCGACTGCTGCTCCCTCCTGCTGAAAACCCTCTCACCATTTTTTGTTGAAGCTTTCAATCTATGTCTAGATGAACCATTATTTTTTTTTCAATCTGTGTCTAGATGGTTGCACAAGGCTTGTGTGCCGACTCCGCGATGGGAAGGGTTGGCTTGGCTGCATTTGTGCGCCAGCAGGCAGGGACGACCGGTCATCCAAGGTGACATCTCTAGCTCGAAAAATTAGGCCAGCGGCCGGAGCCTGGAAGCAAATAGATTGCTGGCCGCCCATAGAAAAAAGGCGAACCGGAGATCTGGGCTGCCGCGCAAGGCTAAACGTGGCTAAACCTAAAGCATGGAGCTGGTCACGCACAGTTACTCCAGCTGCAGAGCAGACTGCTTTTAGCCGTGTGCATTCGCAGATTTTGAAAGCCGGACTAGATGCCATGTCAATGTCGATCACGGCACAGACAGATCCTTTGGGCAATAAACGCTCCCAAATGGAGCTGACACAATCCGGTAAGCAGGGGGTAGTTCGAATTCACAGTCTTGCCCAAAGAATTTACTTCCCCCTGCAGTCGGGTGGTAACCATGGATTCGATTCAGGATTACGATTATGTTTCTGGATGCTACATAGGCGGTGCAACTTTGTGTGCAATGCGCTAGACACGCAATCACCACTGCTGCTGGAATGCTGGGGGCCCAGCAGTGCCGAGACCTCGCGTGTGTGTGGTTGGAGCATGTGGGAAGAGCATGTCGGCCAGGTTGGGTTGCAAGGGCTTCCTTGGTCAGACCGACTTCTGGAGAGAGGAAGGTGCCAGGGCTGGTTCGGGCATTATGTTCACATTGAGTTCAGCGAGAAGAGCTCGACAGGCGATGCTCCGATTCTGAAGCCTGGGCCTTGCGATGCGACTTTGCGTGCTCTGGAGTGGCTGTCTCTTAGGTTTGACTTCGGCTGGCTGGAGGCTCACAGCGATGAGGCGGGTGTGCTCAGTGCAGGGTCTGCCAGGCCTGTGGAGTTCGCATAGCCAAGTGACCAAGTGTGTCAGGCAGTCCGAAGAGCCACAGCTTGGCTGCCGCACATCGGTGTCGAGCCAAGCCGTGTCGCCACACCCCTAGTGAACGGAAGCCTCCTGGCGTGGTGTCTCATGCCGGCAACTGTCCAGGATGTCGACACCAAACCCCTCTCCACGGAGCGCCGCTGATCTGCAGACTGCTCCTGCAATCATGCAGCATGCTGGCAGGAAGGAGCCAGGATATTCCGAGCAGATGCCAACCGGACCTTTCGAAGTGAGCAGCCATCTCAATTAGTTGAGGGGTGTCATTGGTGCATGGTTGCG